GACCATATTCTAAGTCATAGGGATGGAATATATTCTTTGGTCATGTTCATTCACTTAGAAATCAATAATAATTTCAAAAACAGAAAAATTCTATTAAGTCCATTAAGAAATATACTTCTAAATAACTCATGGATCAGACAATAAATTACAATGAAAATTAGAATATATTTGAACTGAATAGTAAAAGTGCTACATGTCAAAACTTATGGTAGACACCTAAAGCCATGCTTAGAAGGAAATGTATAGTCTTAAACGCACATTTAAAAAGATTGAAAATGAACCTAGTAGTTATCTCAAAAACTTCTAAGAATAGCAAATTAAACCTGAAGAAAATAAAGGAAATAAGATAATAAAGAACAAGAATTAATAGAGTAGAAAATGAAGATAAAGTTGGATCAACTAAACCAAAAGTTGATTCTTTGAAAGGATAATTGATAAGTGTCTGGTAGACTGAAAAAGGAAGAAACAACCAATATCAGGAATGAAAGGATATTACAAATCCTATGGTCATTTGACAAAATATGTGCATGACTTCAAGCCAATAAATTGGAAATTTTAAATGAAGTGAACAAATTTTTTAAAATATGGAAGAGCCAAAATTGACAAATGAAAAAATAGAAAATTTGAGTAGTTCCCTATCTGCTAAAGAAATGGAACCTATAGTTACTTTATTTGCTTTTCCATAGTGAAACAACAAGCCTAGATGGATTGATTCATCAATGGAAAAACAATCTTAAATTCTTACAAAGAGCAGCAGAAATGCAGGAACCCTCCCCAACTCATTTTATGATGCCAGAAAACCTAGATACCAAAACCTGGCAGAGACTTCCTGAGAAAGAGACCTATTTCATTCCCCCCAACATCAATGCAAAAATCCCGAACAAAATATTAGCAAACTAAACTACACACATACACACACACCTACACACACGGAATAATAAATCACAATCAAGTTGGGTTTCTTCCTGAAAAAGTGAGGTTGGTGTGATGGTTGCAAATCAATCAATATAATTCAACACACTAACAGAATGAAAGGAGAAAAATAATATTTCAGTAGATCCAGAAAAAGTATTTGATAAACCAGTATCCACTCATAAAAGGTTTGCTTTTTAATATTCATCTTTATTAGTCTTATCCTGAGTATGCACATAAGATGTTCTGGGTCAGAGATAGATTTCTTATTACTCAGGGTAAATAAGTGCACCTGCCCACCTTCACACTAGTCCATATCCCCCGAGCAACCTGATAAGAACTCATGGGATTTTGGCTGTATAAGTGGCCAAATACTGCCTAGGCAAGGGAAAATTAATTTTCCCTACTTATAAAGACGAAAGAGGCAGCTGTCCTCTTCCCTGCCTGAAAGGGTCTCCTTTTACTCTAGTCTTGTGGTAGACAAAGTCTCTCCAAAAGCCAGATAGCCAGCCCCATGTGTCTCCTAGAGCTGTCTCCTACATCCCTAGGAAGATAGCATATTAGAAATGAGGAAAGATCTCAGCACAATAACCTAAGTTCCCACCACAAGAAACAAGAAAAAGAATAGCAAAATAAACCCGAAGCAGGCAAAAGAAAGGAAATAACAAACAGCAGAAATCTATGAAACTGAAAATAGAAAAATACATAAACAAAAAACTGGTTCTTTGAAAAAACATCAAGAAAATCCATAAAGCTGTAGAAAGACTGACAAAAAGAAAAGAACGCAAATCATCAAGAATGAAATGGCAAATATCACTACAAATCAGGCAGTCATTAAAAAGATAATGAGAAAATACTGTAACTTTCAGCTTATACACTTGACAACTTAGAATAAATAATCTGATTCTTGAAAACCACAAACTACTAAAACTCAACCAAGATGAAATAATCTGAATATCCTGTAACCATTAAAGAATTAAATTCATAATTTAAAATCTCCTGATAAATCTCCAGACCCAGATGCCCTGGCTTCTTTGAGGTTCTTCCATGTTGTTGCATGTATCAATCATTCATTATTTTTATTGCTGAGTAGTGCTGCTCTGTATAGAATGTAACACAGTTTGTTTATACCATTCACCTGTTGGTGGACATTTGTTGATTCCAGTTTTGGGCTATCATTTAAAGCTGCTATGAGCATTCATTTACAAGTCTTTATGTGGCCATAAGCTTTCATTTCTCTTGGGCAAATACCTAGGACTGGGCTGGCTAAATCATATGATAAGTGTATATTTAAATGTTTAAGGAACTGCTAAAAGTCTTTTTCAAATTGATTGTACCATTTGACATTCCTGCCAGCAGTTTATGTGTGCAAAGTCTGTAATTACATTTATGTAAAACTATAAAATGCAAACTAATCCATAATAATGCAAGCACATCATTGGTTGCCTGGAATGTGGTGGGTGAGGGGAAATGATTACAGAAGGGCAAAGGGAAACTTCTGGGGCTGATACCTGTGTTTACTCTCTTGATTGTGGTTATGGTTCACAAGTGTAGCCATATAACAAAACTTAACAAATTGTACACTTTATGTGCCATTTATCATATATCAATTATACCTCAGAAGGTGTCAGAAGTAACAGGATATTTATATTTAAATCTGCCTTTGAATTACTGATTGTGACTGAGGTCTCATGTGGCTTACTGGTGAATCCAGTAGCTGAGCAGACTAAAGCTGTCACTTCTGCTAACTCTTTTACCAACTCACCTACTGTCACCTTACACAACCCCAACTGTGTTTCAGCTTTGGACTAATGAACACACCATTTTCTTCCTACTTAAAAAGACCACTCAGGATAATGATTAAGAAATACATCGATGGTGAATAATAAATACTTTCAAAAAAGTTAAATGTGAACATTTGGCTTTCATAGCTCTTGACTGTCTTTGACAAACCTTGACATAAAGCTGCCTTTTCCATCTTGGGCTGTTGACAAAAAAAGCCTAAGAAGGAAAGAGGGTGTGTACAGAAAATTACATGCCATAGAAAAATACCATACACAGGCCAGGAGTGGTGGCACTTTGGGAGGCCAGGGCGGGTGGATCATTTGAGGTCAGGAGTTTGAGACCAGCCTGGCCAACATGGGGAAACCCCATCTCTACTAAAAATACAAAACTTAACCGGGCATGGTGGTGCACACCTGCAGTCCCAGCTACTTGGGAGGTTGAGGTAGGAGAATCGCTTGAACCCGGGAGGTAAGAGATTGCGGTGAGCTGAGATGGTGACACTGTACTCCATCTCCAAAAAAAAAAAAAAAGCTATACAGATGAATCTTTAAAGATTTTAATTTATATATACCTCTTCTACCATGCATTGGCTGTAGTAGTTGAACAGACATCAGCAGGCACAATGCTAGGCAGGCACCGGAGATTCAGTGATGAATAAAACAAAACTGACCTGGAACCTGGCTTCCTGAAGCTTCTCTTCATCTGTCTAAATTCCTTTCTTTCAAGGCCCAGTGCAAGTGACACCATCAGAAAGAGCTTCCACACTATTCTATCTGCAAATCTCCCTTTTCTGAGCTATTATGCTTATAGTATGTACCAGGCCACATGACATATGTTATTTTGTGGCATTCTAGAATTATTCCAATCTTTTCATTTTTATAACTGGTGTGTTGTATTCAATAAATAATGTTATTCCAATTTTCATCACTGGTCACGCAAGAGTCCTCTCTTCATTATATTTTGTCCCCATAGTGCACCCCCAGTTTCCTCCCCATCCTAAGTAACCATTACAATACCTAAATATGTATCTAATTAGGTTGTATGTTTTCTTGCAAAATGAGCACTATCTTCTATGCACATGTATTTGTGTATGTCAACAGTATTGTGTTAGCATTGCTTCTCTATTTCTTCACTCTTTACTATGCCTCTAGTACATATCCATGTTGTTATGTATGCATTTATTCCATTGCTTCTACCCGCTATACCTCATGGTGTACCTCTACCACATGTCGTCTTCCCTCTTTTCCAAGGACAGCTACTTGGGTGGCTTCCAACTTGCCCAACTATTCTAGTTATTTTATGTATGTTACTTTGGCTCCAGCTCAGTTGTGAACTGCTTGTAGATAAGGACCATGTTTTTCTTTACCTGTTACTCCTGCTGATTTTCTATTAGTGCCTGTGCATGTTATCTGCTGTAAGGTGGTAAACATTAAAGTAAAACTAATTACAGAAGTAAGGAGTTGCCAGTGGAATCTTCCTGAGCTGAATCTAATCATGGCTTTACCCCTTACTAGCTTTGTGACCTTGACCTTGGAAAAGTAAAACCTTGTTGCTCTTTCTTCATCTATAAAGGTAGATAATACCATCCATCTTAGTGGGCCGTTATGAGGAATGAGTTAATTAACTAATACTAAGCACTCCAGTACAGCAGAAGACATACAACAGGTGTTTAATAAATAATAGGTACTATGAATCCTACCTACTGCTTCAAATTACAGCCATCTATACCTGTCAACTTTTCTAAGAATATAAGCATCCTGGAGGTAAGGTCATTTCAAATACTTCTTTATATCTGCTCATTACCCAGCACTCTGCTGTGTGTGAAATATTCTATACATTTATGTTGCTATGGTTTGGATGTTTTTGTCCCCTCCAAAATTCATGTTGAAACTTAATACCCAATGCAACAGTATAAGAGGATGTGGCTTTTAAGAGGTGACTGAGTAATGAATGGGATTAAATGATCTTTTAAATGCATTTTTGCCCTCTTTCCCTTCTGTCCCTTCCACCATGTGAGGACACGCATTCCTCCACTGTGGAGGATGCAGCAATGAGGTGCCATCTTGGAAGCAGAGATTAGCCTTCACCAGACACTAGTTCTGCTGGTGCCTTGGTCTTGGAATTCCCAGCCTCAAGAGCCATGAGAAACAGATTTTTCTATTGTTTATAAATTACCAAATCTGTGGTATTTTGTTATAGCAGCACAAACGGACTAAGACAAATCTGTTAACTCAGATTTTAAGCATATGTGCTAAAGTATTTTAAAAGGTTATTTTATCCAAGAATATAGTATGAGTTAATATCTTTTTTGCAAGATTCATGGCAATCTTTTATTATTTTTTATTTCATTACATGTTGAAAACAAAATCATATCTATTAAAAAGTAAAATCACAAATTAGTCTTTGATTATTCAGAAGCATAAGAAGATTGCTGTTTCATGTTTTCCATTTCTCCCTCCAGTGGCTTGAAAAGTACAGGAGCTCTTTTCAGTCACGTTTTGTCTTAAAGATTTTAAAATAAGAAGAGTCTGCATCCTGTAAAAGAGGGACAGAAACATGAATCAGTACCTACTCCTATTTACCCCAGTTTTTAACATTTTAAGTCCTTCTGTTTTGAGGAGCTATATCATTATGGTTCACTATTAAGAATCTTCACAAAATTTGAGAAACCGCTTAAATTAGAATTAAAAAATCATAGCCAAAATTTTAGATGCACACAAAAGTACCTCTAATGAGTTTAGCATCATCTCTGGTTTAGAGGAGGCATAAATAGCATTGGACTGTAATGCTAAATTCTCTATAATGACTTCTATGGATCAGCATATCATACCTACACTGCTTTGCTCTAATAAATAAAAACAATAAGTCAGATTATGTAGAATTGAAATATATGGGAGATAACGCTTTAAAATTATTTGTGGCCAGGCAGGCACTGTGGCGCAGCTTGTAATCCCAGCACCTTGGGAGGCCAAGGTGGGCGGATCACCTGAGGTCAGGAGTTTGAGACCAGCCTGGCCAACATGGTGAAACCCCACCTCTACTAAAAATAAGAAATCAGCTGGGCGTGGTGGTGTGTGCCTGTAATCCCAGCTACTTGGGAGGCTGAGGCAGGAGAATTGCTTGAACCCGGGAAGCGGAGGTTGCAGTGAGCTGAGACAGCGCCATTGAACTCCAGCCTGGCCAACAAGAGGGAGACTCTGTCTCAAAAAAAAAAAGAAAAAAGAAAAAAAATTATTTGTGAACTTTTTGTATATTGCTTAAGGAATAAAACAAGGCAACTTGATAATCCCCAAGATGTGATGTTTCTTTTGGGAAGATATGCATTTACTACTTCCAAAACTTTGCACTAAGAAAGACAAAATAATAATAATGATAATACAAAAGTCAGTGTAGCCACTGTTCTTGATCCCTAAAAATAATAAAGATTCATTAAAAACAAAGTTCCAGACATAATGTTCTTAGACTAAAGAAGCAAATTCTAGTTAACAACAAGTACTATTAGCTTGAAATAAGTTATACTAGCATTTTCTTAGATGCTTATCAATAAAATATATATATACACATATATGTAAAATATAAAATAATGGGAGAGAGGAAGAGTACAGACTATAAAGAATGAGGTATTATGTCCTACAAATTGCTTTGGGAGATGACAGAATGCCCAGCTTATCATAATAAAGAGCAACAAAGTAGTAAGACTATATAATAAGCAATATTTCAAAGATGGTGGTAGGAAGAAAAAGGCTGTCATTTTTTTTTTAGAAAAGCCTAGGTGTAAAAAACATGCGAGATTTGCTAAATGATGTTTATATTTTACAGTTAGATGTTCTCTAAACAAAACAAAATACCCTTCATATGGACATTTCTGAAAATACTATTACAGTGGGACTGAAATTCTCTAGTCCCTGGTCCCTCTTTCCTCTCTGAAAAAATCACTTCTATAATATATTCTTTATCTGCCCTATTATTTAAATTGAGGATGTGAACCAGTACACTCATTATGGAAAATATGGAAATTCCTCAAAAAATTAAAAATAGAATTACCATCTGATCCAGCAATTCCATTTATGGATATAAATCTAAAGGAAGTGAAATCAGTACCTTGAAGTGATATCTACACTCCCATGTTCATTTTAGCATTACTTATAATAGCCAGGATATGGAAACAACCTAAGTGTCCATTAGTGAATGAATGGATAAAGAAAATGTAGTGTGTGTGTGTGTGTGTGTGTGTGTGTGTGTGTGTGTGTATGGAATACTATTCCACAATGGAATATTTTTCAGCCATAAAACGATGGAACTCCTGGCATTTGTGAAAACATGGATAATGGACATTAATGCTAAGTGATAGAAGCAAGATACAGAAAAACAAGTACTGTGTGATTTCACTTATGTGGAATCTAAAAAGTCGTACTGAAAGGCAGAGTAGAATGATGGTTGCCAGGAGCCAGAAAAATGGGGGAAATGGGGAGATCTTGGTCAAAAGGTACACATTTTGGCCAGGCACAGTGACTCACACCTATGATCCCAACACTTTGGGAGGCCAAGGCAGGTGGATTGCCTGAGCCCAGGAGTTCAAGACTAGCCTGGGCAACATGGCAAAAACCCATCTCTACCAAAACTACAAAACCTAGCCAGGCATGGTGGTGTGTGCCTGTAGTCTCAGCTACTCAGGAGGCTAGGGTGGGAGGATTGCTTGAGCCTGGGAGGTGGAGATTGCAGTGAGCCATGATCACGCCACTGCAGACTCCATCCTGGGCAACTGGGCGAGACCCTGTCTCAAAGAAAAAAAAATTAGAAATTTTCAGTTATAAGATAAATAACTTATGTTATTATAACTTACAAATTCTAAGGATCTAATATATAGCATGGTGACTATAGTTAATAATACTGTATTGCATATTTGAAATTTGCTAAAAAAGTAGATTTTAAGTGTTCTCACCACAACAAAAAAAAGGTAACTGTGGGTGACAGATGTGTTAATTAGTTTGGTCATGGTAATCATTTTACAGTGTATTAGATCATCACAATGTATACCTTAAATATATATAATTTTATGTGTCAATTATAATGAAAATCTTTGATCATTAAGGAAGCTGAATATCCTGCTATATCTAACTCAAGATGAGAAGGGGAAAAAAAGCACAATAGCTAACACTTAGAACACTCCAAGTTGTGTTTTAAGTGCTTTTCATATATTAAATTCATGTAATTCCCATACGATCCTGTGACTGGGCACTATTATCACTAATCTCCATCTTATATTAATAGATGGGGAGACTGAGTGATAGAGAAGTAACCTGCTTTAAGAGCGTGGGGCACAGCTGGGATTTGAACCCAGGTAGCCTAGCAGCAGGCTGCATGCGCTTTGCCAGGAGACTGTGCTTCCTCTGTAGTACAGTGGCCTGTCCCTCTCAACTCTTTCCATCACTGGGCACAAAGCTACTGCATCAGCTGTCCTCCATGTTTAAAACTCAGGTTTAATCTTTGATGAAGCTTTACCTTTAGAGCTTCTACCCACACTACCAAGTCCCAACAATACCAAAACACTCATAAGCGATTTGGCCCAAAGCAAACTGTTCCACATTACTACTTGGTAGAAAATGAAAAGCTCCTTTGTGATTGTTCACACTCTGGACATTTTAGTGTGTCATGACCCAGTCTGATAACCTTTTATGTCTCTTAAGCATTTTGTTGTGTTTGTAACTTTTTACCCCCTAATTCATTTTCACTGTCCTGCAAAGAGTTGCAATAAATTAAATGTCTAACAATTAGTGGATTACTTAAATATTTGCAGGTATGTATAGTATGATCCTGTTTTATAATTCTTTTTTTATCTATCAAACCCTATTGATTCATTTCTAAAAGAAGGTGGTAACAAAGTATATCAAAGGCTAACAATAAAAACTATCCTCAGCAATAATCTTTTGCTGCATAATCATCTATAATTTTTTGTTTACTTCATTACATTTCCTATACTGTCTATAAATTAAATTCTTTTGAGGGTCACAATTTCTCAGAAATGGTTAATAGTATTCCCCGACTAATTGCTATAAAGAATGAGTGCTGAAAGAATGATCATCAGCATATTTCCTTAGACAGGGGAATAGGCACATCTTAGATGTGCTGAGTACTTCAGGAATGAGGTAAAAGCGCATGCATCTGTTTTAACAATGCAGTAAGTGCTTTGACAGGAAAGCACAGGGGCTGAGGTGCACCTGGTCCTGGGGAGAAGTGGGAGGGAAGGCCAGGTACCATTCCAAGGAGGTAACATGGGAGTTGAGACTGGTAGGATGGGTAGGCGTTGGTGGGGAGAAACAGTAGGGAAAGAACATTTTGACACACACACTGGCCAAACAGTATGTACAGAAGAAAAAAATGGCAGTCTTTGATTTGATTTTACCTTGTAAAAAAACTTCTTTCTCCAAGACTAGTAATAATTTATACTAAACCAAAAGATAAGCATGGTGATAAAATATTTTTTATTTATTTTTCTTTATATCATGAGATTGGTGGAAGGCTAGAAAGGTTTTTTTGTTTTTGAAACAGAGTCTCACTCTATCACCCGGGCTGGAGTGCAGTGGCACCATCCTGGCTCACTGCAACCTCTGCCTCCCGGGTTCAAGCAATTCTCATGCCTCAGCCTCCCGAGTAGCTGGCATTACAGGCGAGCACCACCATGCCCGGCTACTTTTTGTATTTTTAGTAGAGACGGGGTTTTACTATGTTGGCCAGGCTGGTCTTGAACTCCTGGCCTCAAGTGATCTGCCTTGGCCTCCCAAAGTGCTGGGATTACAGACATGAGCCACTGTACCCAGCCAGAAAGTTTTTTAACCACTGGAAAATTCTGTACCTTCCTGCAAGATCGATACATATTATTAAGAAACTTAGAAATTGGTCTTACCACACCACTCTTAAAGTTCTCAATCCTTTTCTTCCCCATCTTGCTGGTTATCCACCAGGCCCAGGTTGGCATGTATTGCCACAAATATGTTACTAACAAGAAAGGTTGTTGTGAGATCCAAACTTCTTTCAAATCATTGGCCATGCTGATTAACATCAGCCGCACACAACGACTGGTTGCCATCTTGTGGGACTGGTCTCCATTATTGGCTATAGTCTAAGAAAATTTAAAAATTAAGTGAATTTATCCAAGCAATTTCACAGAAATTTAAGCTGGAAAGGACTCAAATGCCATCTAGTTGAGTGGTTCCTTTAGTGGAGCTTCATGCCCCTTAGGAGTCTCCATAAGTACTAATGGGAGTTTATAAACTATTTGTAATATTTCAAAAAGCCCAACAGAAACCATATGCTTACTAGATAATACAGCGCAGGCTAACTAAAAGGTGAAGATTCTTTGCTTTTAATTAGAATTGCATCACCCTAATGTGCTTAAAGACAATTACTACTTTTGTAATAAAAATCAAACTATTAAGACAATGCATTTAGCAAATGAAATTCCATAAACAATTTTCATAATGGCAGAAGTTGTTTTGTGAATAATTCACACAAAAGCAGTTCTAAGACAAAAACTGATATACAGTGATACAACACCAATATATAATGCCAATATGTAACTAGTAAACATTCAAATTATTCCCAACCAGAAATTTTTACCTTTGTGACTTCTCCAGCTAGGGAATTCTCCACAATATTTGATTGCACTGGTCCTGGGCAAATGTTAGAAACTATTATACCTGGGTATGCGGCAAGTTCTGTTCGAAGGCCATTAAAAAAACCCTAACAGGCAAGAAAAAAAAAAAAAAAAAGGAGGAAAAGAAGGCAAATAAATACAGACACGTATCTCATGACTTATCAAAATATGTTCTAAAATGTGTGAGTAAAGAACAGGGAGTGTAATCATGCAAGCTTATTAGGCACTTTTAACCGTAGACTGGAGGCAATCTAGAACAGACATTCTCAGCTCTTTCCAGGTATAAATGGTTCACCCCCTTTGATAGTGATGGGTCTTGCCATCAATGATTTTTATGGTAGGCATGCACTGGATAGGTAAAAAAAACTATCCCTGAAGATTCTGATATACCCTCTTCATACCAGTCCTCCTCTCCCCACTCCAAAAGGGGTGTATGTCCTTCACTGAGAATCACTTAGGTCGGGTTTCTGTTTATTCCCCAAAGTAGTCTAAAGTGCAAATGTTTGGGACAAAGGTGAGGAAGATGGGATTAGTACTTCGCAGAAACTATCACAAAGAATGATTTCCACTTTTCCCATGTATATTGCTAATTTAACAGAATTAATTCATTTCAGCAAACATTTATCTTTTGGGGTAATAAGAGGGTACATGGCTAATTAAAAATGTAATATGATTGCCTACTGAATGACTTGTGTAAAACAGACTAGACCTTCTAGACTTAAAGATACTGACCATTTCTAAACCAATGGGGAGTAAACAGAAATCTACTGCCTGTCATCTCTTCCTAAATTAGGAAATGTTCCAAGACTACATTGTTATAAGGCTGGGTTATCTATTGAAAAGCCTAAACAGCTAACCCACAGTACATCTGTATATGATCCAAAAATGTTAAACCGCTATCAGCCCTGAATGCTGACCCCAACAAACAGAGGGGCTATGAGGGTTTACGATCAGAGACCAATACAGTGCCTGACTCAGAGATGAACCAAAAAAAAAAAAAAAAAAAAAAAAAAAACCCTTGGTAAATTAATGGAAAACTTCCATAACTTTAACCTTCTGCCTCTCTGTAGCAAAAGAGGAGAGAGGACACCAAGCAAGCCAATACATCAAACACTAAAACCTCTCCTTGTTTGAAATCACATCTAGCATTGTGTGTAAACTTTTCAATGATAAACAAGTTAATTCTGTAGCTTACTGAGAATCTGAGAAGGAAATGTGCTCTTCAAAAAGAGTTTCCTGGTAACTACAGTCTCAACCTGCCACATTTTATCATAGGATCAAATCCAGTAATAAAATAATGAGTGTTGCAGGGCAGGCCAGACAGCTCATCTGTGTTTACTGAAAGCATCCGGCATATCTTATGAGATACATGGTGCCAAACAGATGGGTGGCCGCCCTCCCCCATCTGCCTGCCTAAGGCTTGCCCAACTGCTCTCCAGGAAGTGACTGATGCCTGTTACTAAATATGAGGAAATCATCAGTGTAGCGTTCTGCTTCATCACTGTCTGCAGTTGTCTGCACTTTGCTGCAGAAAAAAAAGATGTCCTAAAGAATCAAAGCTTCAAATTTTCATGAAACCATGATAACCATGTAGCTATTGCATCTCATTATTCCAACAGTGAAACATTCTACTTAAACTGACTTCAACAGCATTAAATATAGATTTTGTGTCTTCTTTAATCATTCTTTTCCTATTGGCCTTATAATTTCTTTATATCCAGTCTTAAGCCACCATTAAAAATTCATCCATTTCTAATATTTATACCTTATAACTTACGCAGTCCAAATCAAGCTTTTCTCCTTGCCTCTGCCTTGACTAGATTTTCTTCTTCCAATGAAACCAGAGTGAATACAGTCAAAATTTTTCCCAGTAAGGATATGAGACCAGGACTAATCATCCTGTGGGAAGTACCTATTTCTGACATGCGTATATAATTAGACCAGGCAAAACACACACCAACTACAAGGGGCAAAGAAAAGAAGTCACAGAAATGGGGAGGAAAAAGTACATCCTGAAGTATATGTAGATGAAAGGAGAAGTGGACCCCCAATTTTCCATGAAGATGTGGTAGGAATAAGGACAAGGTGAAGAGTGACATGTTAACTAGATGATACACTTTTTCAGGGCAGAGACCCCATCTTACTATCTTTATATCCCCAGGGTCTGTTGTACTGCATGGCACAATGCAGTGCTTGATACATATTTATTTGTTCAACAAGTTAAGAGGCATGTGTGGATCAAGTCTTTTTTAGCATCCACTGGGGGTGTCCTCTACCAAAGGTCTCCTTGGGTCTCTCTGTCTCCCCACATCACTTCCCAGCTCCAAGGACCTCACACAGTGATGGCCATATCCCCCACATACACATTTAAGTCAGTTCTATCAGAGTTGAGTTTGAGCAGCCTTACCCGGAGAGCATGCTTGCTAGCACAGTATCCAGTGGAAAGAGGTGCAGATATGATACCGAGGATGCTATTCACAGTAACAATCTTTCCTTGCTTCCTCTCGATCATGTGAGGCAGAACACATTTTGTCAAGGACACCGTCCCTAAGTAGTTAAGCTCTATTAGCTTTCTGTAGACATCCAAGCTGGTATCCATGCACAAAGAACGCTGGGATATTCCACTATTGTTGACCAGAATGTCGATCTAGTTAAATAAAATCAGAAAAGGGGTGTTTGGGGGATGTCCTGTGGATAGACTGATGGAATTCCTATAGATGGTTGGTTATATTGTTAACTTGAAGAATCAATGGAACAATGGTATATTTCCAGAAGTCAGAAATTAAAAAGATAAAACCCCGAATTTACCTGTGGAATTAAATTCCCATTTTAGGTGACTTTTTATGAAAGTTAATAATTGTCATAAAAATAAATAAAAGCAGCCAGCCAGGCGCAGTAGCCTGTAATCCCTGCACTTTGGGAGGCCAAGGAGGGTGGATCATGAGGTCAGGAGTTCAAGACCAGCCTGACCAACATGGGAAAACCCTGTCTCTACTAAAAAATACCAAAATTAGCTGGGCGTGATGGTGCACACCTGCAATCCCAGCTACTCAGGAGGCTGAGGCAGGAGAATCACTTAAACCCGGGAGGAGGAGATTGCAGTGAGTCAATATCACACTACTGCAATCCAGCCTGGGCGACAGAGCAAGACTTCATCTCAAAATAAATAAATAAATAAAAGCAGCTGTGAATTTTTAGCTTCTTTTGTTCTACATGGAGGAATTTGTACTTGTTAAGACATGAAAAGTACTAATTCCATAACGCCAAAGACTCAGAGATTAAGGGGCCCAACTCATGGGCCCTATCTCACTGCATGGACCCCACTTGCCTAAAGCCCTTTGTATGACAGCACCACGGATGGGAATCTCTTCTGCAGTTACTTCAAAGCAAGACTGTATCAATATAAGATGCTACTTACTCTACCAAACTCCTGGAGAACAGCTTCGGTAGCCGCTTCATGGGAACCGGTGTCGGTCAGGTCAAGAGGCAAAACAAGTATATCTTTTTCTTTTAAATTGCCATTCTCTAAATAAAGACAAAAATTTGTGTGGAAGTCATGCCATAGTTCAATCAAGCTCCTTGCTACTCCACTAACATCCACCCTGCAACAAACTCATTTCCGGGTGGCCCTGTGAGAGTTCCTCTCAGTGGTCAGGAAGAGGACTAGTGGTTAAATGATGATGTCTTACCAGACAAAATGCTGGCTGGCCTCACAGGAAGTAGAATGGCAACTTGAATATGCAGTCTAACTTTACAACTTGATTTCTGGGAGAAATCAAGATTATACTACAAACTACAAACTAGAAAAGAGCAAAAATTTTGGAGCAATTTCTTTAGAAGTACAGAGGTACCTTTGTTTTGTAATAGGCTCACAAAGATGAGTTGCTCTTCTACACCCAAAACAGCCATTTGTGCTTAAAATCAGTAAGAAGCTTAGAGTCCTACAGTCAAATGACATATAGAAGCTTCTCTCCAGAGGCTAAGGATTCCTGGAAGTAAACAGGGAAAAGGACACATGCCTGAAATTCCCATCCAAGAAACATGCTGCTGAGTTGTGATTGGCTCTTTCTGTTCATGAAAAGAACAACTGAAACTAATTTTCCTGGACTCTAACTTTGAAATACAAGTAACATCAGTAAGAAAAACAAGCAAATATAGAAAATACAAGAGGTAAAAAGACTTCATGGGCAAAAGAGTTAATTGTGAAACATCAACCGTATTAAATGAAAAAGTGGGCACTACAGATCTGCAAGATAAAAGGAAATAGCCTTGTGCCAGGTAAGAAATGCTGACCTGGTTCATCTACTCCACCAGTACAGGACTTGCAAGTCACAGCAGCAGAGGAACAACTACTAAAAGAAGTGGCCCAGTGCAAAAACACAAGAGGCCTTTGAAAGAAGTATCATGAAAGAGGCCCATGGCCCTGCTGAGCACTACTGTGGCAACTAACTCTCATTTCTGGGTGATTAGCTTGATCAGCAATTAAATATTTAAAAGAATGACAGGTAGAGAGATGGCCCAAAAAATGGTCTGTTGGAAAATTCAAAATTATCTCAGTTTAGGTACTATTAATAAATGGTCCATGAAAAATAATAACTTTCCTGTTCTATGAAAAAAATAACTTAGGTACTATTAATAAATGTTGCATGAAAAATAATAACTTGAGGTTGCTTTCAATGTGAACATAATGGCTGGGCGCGGTGGCTCACACCTGTGATCCCAGCATTTTGAGAGGCCTAGGCAGGCAGATCACCTGAGGTTAGGAGGTCGAGACAAGCATGGCCAACATGGCGAAACCCCGTCTCCACTAAAAATACAAAAATTAGCTGGGTGTGGTGGTGCACATCTGTGGTCCCAGCTACTTAGGAGGCTGAGACACAAGAAACACTTGAACCCGCGAGGCGGAAGTTGCAATGAGCCAAGATCACACCATTGTACTACAGCCTGGGCAACAAAGTGAGACTCCATCTCAAAAAGAAAAAAGTGAACATAACTACACCAAAACTCAAACAAAAATATTAACACTGTTGCCCTTTATGTGAACACGAAAGTATTACCTCAAGTTCTATTTTTTAAACCTAATTCCATTCCTGTTCTTTTATCCTATATAATAAAAGTCTTATCCCATATGATTTTAATATCTGATACATTAATAAAATGAGTAAGGATTCTTCCTACTTTCTATGATCAGATACATGTACGTCATGGATAAGAACGCAACTGTTTTTTCTCTAAGACAAAAATCTAAGTCACTTGGTCACTAAAAATCCACCAGCATTAGATACAATTGTTGGTCACTCCCTAATGCCAAGAGTCAGTGCAAAAAAACCATAGAAAGGTGGCAGAAAAGAAGAAAAGGCAAGGGCAGCCAATTAAGACAAAAAGGAGAGGATCTGAGACGAAGCACTTAGAGCATCTGGAGCCAGGGGGCAATCTCACTCCTCTCTAAAAGTCCCAAAACTGTATTTGAGTTTGGATTCTGATTTATTTCTAGGAAGCACCTCTGCTATTTCAGATCTGCTTACCTAGACATCTTCTTTTCACCCTTTCCAGCTCGTGCACTCTTCTGGCTGACAGCACAAGAGAAACTCCTAGTTTAGACAACTGGTAAGCCAGCTCCTCACCAATTCCACTCGAGGCTCCAGTCACCCACACCACCATATCAGTCAGCTCCCATTCTATGGAAGGAATGACAATGGAAGGAAGAAAATAAGCAATGAATTACAATCATAAATCAAAGATTAGAAAAAAGAAAAGAAAGCCTTAAACAATACCACTAAATATGAAGGCATGATGTATGGAGCTTAAAATTTGAACTATTCTAAGAAAGTGTCTCCTTAACTAAAAAAAAAAGCATTAATACAAATCATACTAATAACAGTTATCAACATAGTATTCCTAGACTACAGAACCTCCATAACTTTTCCAGACTTTACTTCAAGGTAAGCCTTGTAACCCCATGTTTTCACCCCAAGGCTCTATTTATGACAAACAGATAAGATAAATATGATAGATAAGATAAACAGGCTAACTAAACAGGAAATCACTGCCTGGACTCACTTTCCTTAGCCATTAAATGAGCCATTCAGATTAGATGATGGCTGAAGGTCCCCTCCAGTTTTTAATTATATTATTCTAATATTTTGCAATGGAGGTTGATGAAGAATCTAAATATACCAAGTTCTGTGCTGTTGATGGAAACATCCTAGATTTTTAAAGTAATATTTTCCCCATTTGCCAATCATGCCTGATGCCTATCAGCTCAAGGTCATTTTGTAAAAATGCTCCCCAGATGCCTGAGCTTTCATCTTAGGAGAATATAGTAATTCACCCAAGAACAAATGCATATTACAGAGAGATGAAATATTGTACTCTGCTTCTCCAATTATGTTCCTCTTAACAACTAAAAATGTTACAGTACTAAAGCAATGACAAATGGTTTATTCTTTTCTCCAATGAAAAACTTGTTAGCACTGCAGGAGATGATATTCAGTGTCTCTCTGAACTCGTAAAGTCACTGTTATGCAAAGTTCCTGTGTACCTTATTTAATAAAATAGATGTTATTTATCAAAAATATTAAACAAGGTATCACTTAACATTACATTTCTGATTTTAGATCAGAAAAGTTAAAATCAGGAAATGATTGTAGTGTTTTAAACAGCTCTAAATCCTAACTGTGATGTTAACAGTACCATCCCTGGAGACTGCCAGGGTTCAAATGCCAGCTCCAACACACACAGCACTGAAATGTTCCCAGGTGAGAACTCGGTGCCTTAATTTTCCACAACTGAAAATGTAATGAATAAGAACACATCCTTCACGTGATTGTTGAGAAATGAGTTAAAACATAGAAAGCACTCAGGGCAGGATATATCCAGTACATACTCAGTGTTTAATAAACATCAATTATAATTATTGCTTAAGTTTTTTAATAGATGGACTTCGCTACAGCAAAACATAGAACAGTCACTTAATAACCTATGTCTCCTAACTTCTCCAGCCAGGGAAACGGGGTTACAAATTCTAATGGCTTAACATTTTTACATTACTTCCTATGTACTTAACACATTATCTATTAAAAGCCTCACCAGAACTGTATGAAAATGTATTATTATCTCAGTTTTACAGAAAAGGTAACTGAGGTTTACAGAGATTAATTTGTCCCCACTAGTCAGTAGATTCCATTAAGGGTAGGACCTTGTCTTCCTTGTTCATTGGTGTGGCCTCAGTGCCTAGCAAGGACTGGAATATTGAAAAGGCTCCATAAATAACTACTGAATAAACAAACACCCAAGAATCCTGGCAGAGCCGGGATATAAGCCCAGGTATATCTAGCTCCAAAGCCCACACTGTCCACTATTTCATGATATACATTTAAATATGATCAATAATTTAAAGCCCAACTGTTTCTTAGACATTCAAGAAAATACCACTTGTCCTTAGGAAAAAGGTTTCATGTAAATATCTCAACTAAGGCCAGGTACGTTGGCTCACACCTATAATCCCAGCACTTGCCTGGAGGCCAAGGCAGGCAGATCACTTGAGGCCAGGAGTTCGAGACCAGCCTGGCCAACATGATGAAACCTGTTCTCTACAAAAAATACAAAAATTAGCCAGGTGTGGTGATGCATCCCTGTAATCCCAACTACTCAGGAGACTGAGGTGCGAGAATCACTTGAACCTGGGAGGCAGATGTTGCAGTGAGCCAAGATTGCTCCCCTGCACTCCAGCATGGGTGACAGAGTGAGACTCTGTCTCAAAAAAAAAAAAAAAAAAATCTTAACAAAGGATGGAAACATCCCAAATACTATGTCTGGGCTACAATGCTTTCCTGTCTCATAATGTGCTTTCGTAAAAGGCACAATTGGGCAACCTTCCTATAGGACTTTATGAAGAACAATATAACATCTATTCAGATAATCATTTATTCATTTATTGACTACTTGTTGTTCCCAAGTTCTACAATCATCAGACTCTAAAGTGAATATCATTTTTTTTAGAAACACAGGATTTACTAACCAGCCTCAAGCTAACAAAGACTTCTTGATGTTTACACAACTAAGCAAATATTTAAAGCTGATGGTGTAAACCTTTAATGCAATCACAGTTCTGGCCTCTTCCTCCCACCCTAAAGAAACTTTTTTATTTAGCACCATTTGTTTCCCGATTCCACAGAATCTGGTATACATAATGGTCTCCCTTTAAGAGCCCCTGAAAGTAGATTCTTAGAGTTGAAAGGAAAGTGACAGTGCAACTCCCACTCCAGTTTGAGAATTCTCTTCTCAAGCCCTTGACCCATCTCTAATTCCCTCACAGGATGAGGAAGCTAATTATCTCTGAAGCTTCAGTTCCTTTTTTGGGGAAGTCTAATCATTCAAGGGATCTATTTTATACTAATGTGATAAGCTTGTAAATGCTATCAACTGGTAGCAGTGTGCAGTAATCCTGCCTTGTGGTTTGACAAAGAAGAAGTCAAACTTCTGGTGTCGGTGGGTCCAAGTGTCTGGCCTGAGGCATCCTCCCCATCCCTCCCTCTCCCAGCACCTCAAACATTCATCAAGGATTTTGTATCCAAGGCCCAGAAGTTTGTTACCCAAGATGACGAATATTGACATAGATGCACTTGATGCTGAAAATCATTTGGAACTGGAGGAAAAAACACAGCTTATTAATCAAGTGTTGGAACTCCAACATACACTTGAAGATCTCTCTGTCAGAGGAGATGCAGTTATGGAAGAAAATCTCAAGCTAACATCAGAAAACCAAGTTCTTGGACAATACACAGAAAATTTCATGTCAGCTTCTAGTGTTTTTCAAACAACTGACACAAAAAGCAAAAGAAATATAGAATTGAAGCCCTTCTGTTTTATGGAATTGCGGCTGATCTTTCTTTATATATTGGACAGATTTCAAAAGTGATAGTACCTTTGTTTGTGGTTCCATTGAATATTTATAAAGCTAATGTCAGATGTAGGCAACATTCATAGCATAACGGGAGACTTCCATAAGTTTGTGTATTCTGTTAGTCTATGAGAATGTGCAGATGTATTGGAGACGTGATTTAGAATAGCACACATTTATGAAACTTAAAGATGAATGTTTTTAAAATTTGCTCTGATTTGTGGGTTTAGCCCTGTCTTTTATTACAGGCTTAGTAAGATATACAAGAAAATAACCATCACACTGTGAAAAAGTGACCCAAATCAGGTACTGACTGTACAGCTTCATGTACCCTATCCGTCTTCTTGGGCCCCTTCTCCACTGGCTTCTTCCTTCCTATCTCCCCTCCCCTAGGGAAAAATTGGTTTCACATTTGTAAAAGCAATTTTAATACTTAATCATCTCTGAGAGTAACCTGAACTTTAATTGTTGAAACTTAACCAAATGAAGACATTTTCTCAGCTAGGGCTTCTCATTTGTGATATTTAATACTAAGATAGAATTGCTGGTTTCTCTTTAATCTATTGAAAACAAAAAGAGGCTATAAAAATGAAGATTTTTCATTGAAACTGAATTGTCAATCTGGGAAGATAATTTTTTGTTGTCAAAAACTTCTTTTTGGCCGGGTGCAGTGGCTCACGCCTGTAATCCCAGCACATTGGCAGGCCGAGGCAGGAGGATCACCTGAGGTCAGGAGTTCAAGACCAGCCTGGCCAACATGGCGAAACCCCGTCTCTACTAAAAATACAAAAATTAGCTGGGCATGGTGGTGGGCGCCTATAATCCCAGCTACTTGGGAGGCTGAGGCAGGGAGAATTGCTTGAACCTCTAGGAGGTGGAGGTTGCAGTGAGCCGAGATAGTGCCACTGCACTCCAGCCTGGGCAACAAAGCAAGACTCTATCTTAAAAAAAAAAAAAAAAAAAAAAAAAAAAAAAATCTTTTCTTTACAAAATTACCTACTTGGTATCTGAAAAGATATAAATTATGGTCGTGTGTGTTTAAAATAGAAAAGCTTAAGGGAAAATAGAAATAGGGTAGAAAAGTACTTGGTAAAATACTAGTAACCAACTCCAAATATTTTCACTCCAGATTTGTGTTATCTCTGGCACAGAGTAGATCTTTTGGGAAATACATGAGAGTAGATTAAGCTCAACTAAGCTTTTTTTTGGCGGGGGTTGGGGGGCGTGGGGGGGAGGTGGGGAGGGGACAAGGTCTGGCTCTGTCACCCAAGCTGGAGTGCAGTGGCATGATCTTGGCTCCCTGCAACCTCCACGGCTCAGGCTCAAGCCAACGTCCCACCTCAGCCTCCCAAGTAGCTGGGACTACAGGCGTGCACCATCACGCCCGGCTAATTTTTTTGTGTGTATTTTTTTGTAGATATGGGGTTTTGCCAGGTTGCCCAGGCTGATCTCGAACTTGTGAGCTCTAGCGATTTGCCCACCTCAGCCTCCCAAAGTGCTGGGATTACAAGCATGAGCCACCACACCTGGCCAACTTTGACTAATCTTAATATACCACATCTGGAAGAGAACAGTTACAAAGAGTTTGGTCTTAAGGTTTATTTCTCGTCAGCAGATTAACTTTTGCAAAATTCCTTAAGAATGTATTAGTATCAGAATTGTGAAAAATGGGAGAGTTTCAGATGCATACTTATTGAAAATCTTGCTCAGTTTTATCCTGCTTGTTCTCCCAGAATTTTCTGTAAACTGAACGACTCCGTTTAAAGAGTTTGTCACCTTTAACAATTTTTAAAAATTCAGTTTGTAGACTCCATTTGTTAAAGGAATCAATATCAGAAGGAATACTTAAATGTTATATTAGGAAAAGGGATCCACTAATATAGCTTATGGTTATTAGAGCTGGGCTACTTTTAATTTATGGAAGTATCTTACGTATAGGTGTAAGAATGACTCACTATATGAATACATACTAATCATACTGCAAACATTTTGCATCTCTTTTGTGACCTACACAGACACTTAAATTGTGTTGCAATTCTGCTGTCTTGTTTTACAAAAAGCTCTTTAGGGAAGAAAAGAAAAGAAATCAAACCTGTCTTCCAAATAACAATCCCTCACAGTTGTTAGGGAAGACAACCATTATGTCTTCCCTAAGTCCTTTCATCTCTTACTCCTCTAAGGCTAAATAAAACTATACAATTTCTCCACCTTCCCTTACATGACATGATATCAGGTTTCCTCGCTCTTCTGCTCATGCCCACCTGCACCAATGCTAGTTGGTCAATGTTCCTGTTTATTAAAGGGTACTGGCTAGGGCAGGACACATGATTCGGTAGGGTCTGGACAGTGCAGAGCAGGATGAGATGACAAAAATCACTTCCCTTGTCCCCCAGAAGGTAGGGTCTATGAGGGCCTGGACTGTGGCTGATTCAGTCACTGCAGTGTCCCCAGTGCCCAGCACAGAGGCTGGCACATACAAGCAGCTAGTCAGGAGACTTCTGTTGTTTGCAGCTGTTGCTTCAGACACTGAAGCCTACAAGCGCAACCCAAGGTTGCCTAATCTTTTCTGGCAGCCACTTCACAGCTGACTCCTATTGAGGTTACTGTTAACAAAAACGAGTTTTGCTCACATGTGCTGCTGCTGAAATTTTTCCTCCTCTAGACTTCTGCCATGGATTTTTCTGGACCATTTTAATGTCTAAAATTAGTCACCCTTAAATTTCGCCGTGTGTGGCTGGGCTTGATGGTTCACATCTGTTATCCTAGCACTTTGAGAGGCCAAGGCAGAAGGATCACTTGAGGCCAGGAGTTCAAGACCAGCCTGGAACATAGTGAGAGCCTGTTTCTACAAAAAGTTTAAAAATATCCAGGTGTGGTGGTTTGTACCTGTAGTCCTAGCTACTGGGGAGGCTGAGGTGGGAGAATTGCCTGATCCCAGGAGTTTGAGGCTGCAGTGAGCTATGATCATGCCACAGCACTTCAGGCTGGGTGACAAAGCAAGACTTTGTCTCTCTATTAAAATATATATATATCACCATGTGAGATACATGCTTGGAAATGCACAGAATTTCTCTAGACTAATCCAGCAGAGGCAGGATGGTGGCTGCCTCCAGAGAGGCATACTAGGTAGCTAGGGCACAAGGGTCAGAGAAAGCTCTTTACTTTTTACTATATATCTTTTTGTATTTTTTACTTTTGTATTACATAAGTGTGCTATTTTTTTAAGGGACAAAAAATAATAAACCTACAGAGAAGTCAAGAAGGATAATTTTTTTTTCTTTTTCCATCTTGATAGAGTCTGCCCATCTCTCCAGTCTGAGCTGTTTTGGGAATCTGAGTCTATTTCAATTTTCCTTTAATCTTTTCTTCTTTCTCACTCCCTACCTCCACCAGGAATCTTTTTAGACATTTTTTTTCCCTAAAACTCTCCTGTGAAATGTTAATTCCACAGATATACTGTATATCATTTATGTACTGTACATATATCTGTGCTTTATACATAAAAGGAGTTCTGTAAAGTTTACTTCTGCCAGGCATGGTGGCTAATGCCTGTGTTCCCAACACTTTGGGAGGCCGAATGGGGTGGATCACCTGAGGTCAGGGGTTTCAGACCAGCCTGGCCAACATGGCGAAAACCCAGCTCTACTAAAAATACAAAACTTAGCCAGACGTGGTGGTATGTACCTGTAATCCCAGCTACTAGGGAGGCTGAAGCAGGAGAATCACTTGAACTCAGGAGACAGAGGTTGCAGTGAGCCAAGATCACACCACTACACTCCAGCCTGGCCAACAGAGCAAGACTGTGTCTCAAAAAAAAAGAAAAAGAAAAAAAGCTTACTCCTTGGTTAATAAGCATATGACTAAATTTTAAGATTAAGTTAAACGTTAAATTAAAATTTAAAAGTTATTAACACCTAACTTTATAACTGTATTTGCTGAAAAACATTTTTATGGTTTTTGACACAGTGTCTCACTATGCTGTCCAGGCTGGTCTTGAACTCCTGGACTCAAATGACCCTCCCACCTTAGCCTCCAGAGTAGTTGGGATTGCAGGTACATGCCTCCACACCAGATTTTTGCTAAATAACTTTTATGTAACTTATTTACTTAGATAAATAGCAATTTATCAAACTACATGTGCAAATTTGCAAATTATATAACTACATAATAACAATGTAATTAAATTTAAAATCCTTCAAACTGTTCTTTTCCAGCAAAAGATAACCGAAAATATTAAATGAATTTCTTAAAATTGTCAGTGATCTTAACTTTTAACTTTTCCTTAATATAAGAAAATAACTTTTAGTAGCTTAGAGATATTCATTCAGATGTTGTCAACAATTTTCCTTTTTAGCACTTGACATAATTTGATAGGTTGAATATTTTTTGTAGGATTAAATTATAAAATATAATCTATTTTCATTTAATTCTCCAAGTCCAAGTGAACACAAAAGCACTAAGGATCAAACACAAACAACGTCTGCAAGGCAGCCAATGGCAGCCAATAGGCACACATATTCCCCCACTGGGATGGAACAATCAATCAAGAGAAAGCCCTTGGTTAATGAAGTTGTTCAGTATTTGGGATTCCGGCTTTAAAAGGAGAAAGCCCAATCACTTGCCATAGTTTCTTAGCACTGCTCTCGCGTCTATGTTGTGTATTTTTCGTGAACTCAATGTCAGTGCTGCACAGGCTATACCCAAGAAAACCCAACCAGAAAAATGAAATACTAAGGAATAACATTTTCTCGGGTGGGGTTAAGCTTTGGAGGGGCACAAACCACTGTATCAGATTTTTTTTTTTTTTTTTTTTTTTTTTGGTCCACAAGAACCAATTCTCACCTTGGGATAAATATCACCCCCCTCAACGCCCAACTCATAGTGCCCCCACAACATAGTCTATCTTTTGAGCTACTATCTCTTCCAAGCAAACTTTGTAACATGCTTTGAGTATTTTTATACCAGAAACTTGGTCTAGGGAAACCCCACTTCCCCAAGTCCTTAAGGATCCAAAGCCTAGCTTTTGGTAGGTCATTTAATTTCTCTGAACATCAGTTTCCCTATCTGGAAAATAAGACTAATAATGCCTACCTTGTAAGAGTTGGAAACGTTAAAGGTTATGGGTATAAAGCGCTGAGCACAGAGCCTACATATAGCAAACAAACACAATGTCAAATACGAAGCAAGACACAGATAAAGTGAGATGGGCAGTATGCCAACAATGATCTCACTCCAGCAAACTGCCATTTCAATTCTTTCTAGTGTTCAACTTTCATCCCAATAAGTAGGTAGGTGAGTGACTTCGGATTATCTCAGATTTTATTTCAAAACAGCAGGAGTGAGAAGTGGAGGCTAGACAACTTCAGGTAGTAGAATGACGGGGCTTCCAGTACTTACAAAGGAGGTTCCCTTACAAACGCAGGGGGACGCTCACTGTTCTCAAAGTATCGTCCTCTGAGGCAACACTAGAATCCTTTGAGTCCTGAGTAGGATGTCAGAGTCCTCAGGGGCCCCGCCGACTCCAGTGCTCTCTTATAGTTTGGCACTCCCTGGAGAGGTTTCCTAGCCTGAATGGCAAGTCCGTGCCATCTTCCGACCAGGACAGAAGACAAAGGGGCTTTTCAGCCCTCGCGTCCTCCTCCCCAACCCGCAGCCCAGCGTAAGGCGCAGCCAGGCCTTCCGGAAGCTCCACGCAACCCTCAAAGGACCCGGGATCACCGCGGAACCCCCGGAGACCCGGACACGCCTCGGCAGCTCCGAGCCCGGCCTCCCAGTCGGGAGCGGCTTTGGCAGTTCCTCACCTGGGCGTCGTCCCTGCCACTCGGCCCATAGTAGCGTCAGGTCGCCGTCAGCCCGCAGGAAGCGCAACAGCTGCACCACTAGCAGGAGCAACGCGCACAGCGCCAGCAGCCAGAGCAGCAGCTCCCAGTTCATCGCGGCCGCGCACGCCCAGCTCCGGGGGAAGAAGACAGCCCGCACCAGAGTCGCGTCGCTGCCCTGCGGGATCGCAGCGCCACTCTTTCGGCCAGCCCAGAGCGGCACCGCCCCGGCTCTGCCCAGGGAGCAGGCCGGGAGGAGGAGCCGCTCGGGCGCCCCGGGCTCAGCACTCGCGGCCGCACTCGCCTCCCTGGGGTTGCCCGCGCCCTCTTGCGCCACACCCAGCGGGGCAGGCAGATTGCTTGAATTCAGGTTTCCAAGACCAGCCTGGGCAACATTGGGAAACCCTGTCTCTACCAAAAATAAACAAATAAAATTCCAGTATTTTTTAAAAAGCTGATTCAAACATAAGCTACATATTATATACTACATTATTTCCTCTCTGTACAGGAAAACTAGCAACAGTCAGGAGACAAAGAATCATTCTTGCCTGGCCCCTGTTCTCCATTCCTATTCAGAAAGAACATTCCCTTTTCAAGTTTCAGTATCTTTTCATGAGGTCGAGAGAGTGCTGAAGAGTGTGGCTATCACTCAAAAGACCCCACAAGTCAAGGCAATGGTCCCTCCATGGGGACAAGGACCTTTTACAATTAGAGAAAAAAAGACTGAAGCCATGTGCTGTGTTGGCACCTTACAACCTGGTTCTGACCACACACAAACTTACTCTCAGCTAAAGTGTCTGTTTGGCAACCAAAGCCTAGCTTGGTACCAAATCCTCCCCTTACCCAAGCCATGATTCACATCCTAATATAAACAGCAAATGAAAACAGAGAACGTAATGAAAATACCAAGGTCTTGCCTACTCTAATACACAAAAGAGTAAACTACTGTTCTTAATTTCCGTTTGAAATGAGCTTCAAAACATTTCATTACTTCCCACTAAATACCTACATGTGTTTAAGGCATTAACAGTAGCATCTTTCTTGTTTTCAAGCATTTGAAAGCAAGAGGGCTTTCCATTCACAAGCCTCAGAGGGACCCAGTTAGAGTGCATAGATACTAGGCCATGTATGAGAACGACCTGTGACCAAATGGAGAAAGTTCTGGAAGTTGATGCAATAGAACTTTCATCCTCTTTATGTCCTAGAATACCTTGTATGCTCTGATGTCAAAGGCTGTTCCTTGGCTGAAACTAAATATGACTTTAAAACAGTCATGGAAATAAAAGAAGCTGTGACTTCCTTCCCCAATGTTGTTTTCTTTTTCCAGTCTTGCGTGCCAAACTTTTGTTTTTCTTCAAATGTTTTGAAGAATGTTACTTGCAGTAATCAAATTTCCTTAAACAGCTCTTCCTTCTCTTTTTTTAATCCTATTATAAACCTTCCCACCCTCATCCTTCTCTAAAAAGCTTTTTGGAGTTATCTGGACTCACAGTCATCTCTACCCTAATCTCAGCTCTTTCCACAATTACTTCTGAACTATGTTTGATATTGTTTTTTAATTATTTTCAGGGTTAATATATTATTGTTGCAATAGAACTTTAGAATCCTTGAAATAGAGTAGCAAATCTGATGCTCATTTTGAAGAGTCTGCAATACATAGCTTAGTGTTGACATGAGAAACAATAAGCCCACATTGGTTGAATTCTCCTTTCCTTGAAATTTAAACCTCCTTCAGAGAGAGTAGAAGGATAGTTACCAGAGGCTGAGAAGAGTAGTGAGAGGGTTGGGGGAAACTGGAGATGGTTAATGGGTACAATTATAGTTAGAAAGAATGAATAAGACCTCATATTTGATAGCACAATGGGTTGCCTATAGTCAATAATAATTTAGTTGTATGTTTTAAAATAACCAGAAGAGTAAAATTGGATTGCTTGTAACACAAAGGATAAATGCTTGAGGGGATGGATACCCCATTTACCATGAGTGATTATTACACATTGTATACCTGTATCAAAGTATCTCACATACTCCATAAATATATAGACCTACTATGTACCCACAAAAATTAAAAATTAAAATTCAATTTTTTAAAACCTCCTTGATGTTCTGAAGTCAATGTTAAAATGAGAGTTGCTAGCATTAAATATGTCAGTCTTCTCTGAGTATTATTAAAATGCTTTGAATAAAGTCACAGCCAAGGGGTCCCAAAGTCTTTCTATAACTGGTAACCTTCATTTTTAATTGCAGATATAATAGAATGGTACCCTGCCTTCCCTCCTTTTAGTAATGGCCACTTTTGATGGTCTGGGCTCAGGCCTATTCATGGCAGCTAAGGCCCATTCAGGTCAGCTAAGATGAAGGCAGCTGTGCGTAAGCAATTGCCACCTTCCATAACAAAAGAATTACACAAAAATAACTTTAAAAATCCAGATCCTCCAAGATTGGCAGTCCCTGGGTGGGGGAAAAAGAAAAAGTGAGTGGAAGCTGTGAGTGGAAACAGGAACCAAGGAAGTCTAGGGAGGGAATATTTTTCCTCAAGAACAAGAAGGGGTTTGTAGTTTTTGATTGAGGGTGTTTTCACATCCCTTAGATGCTTTTGGAAATGTGTTGGATGAACAGTTGCCATAGTGCCAGCTAGCCAGGGTGCCATCAGAGTGCTAAAGGTCTGGGCACTATGTAAAGACATACCCAACAAAGAATTGCCCTGCCCCCAAAACTCACAACACCCTTACTCAGAAATCCTGCAACCTGGCTGGCCACAGTGGAGAGGAGGAGCTCTGCAATCTATTAGCTGCCTCCCACCACACGCTCCGGCTTACACCTGCCTGGCTATACCCCAGGTACAAGCATTCAGGTCATTGTCTAGTTTTCTGATATTCTTCAGGCAGACAAGGTCTTACCTAGAGTCTTATTTATAAGAAAATATAAGTTATTTTCTTATCTTTAGTAATCTCATGGGATCCCTCAATAAGAATATCTCACTCCACTATTCACCACAAGCAGTTCCCCATATCAGTGCGATTGTTTGTTTAGATTAGCCAATTTCCACAATATCTTGAGACTCTTAAACATAAGCAGTTTATGGCTCTCACTCTCTCTCTCCCTTAAATGCCGTGTTTCAAACTTCCCTTTATATATCTTGGTATATGATTTAGTAGTGGTGGTGGTTTTTCGAATCTAGAACTTCAAACACTCATACACACAGGAGTACATGCAAAGCTGGTGAAAGTTGAATGAGGTCTGTGGATTTTGCCAATACCAATCCCCTGGTTCTGTTATTGTTTTAAAATTATGTAAAATTACTAGTGGGGGGAACGGGGTACAGGGTACACATCTATTCCATCTTGGCAACTTCCTGTGAATCTATAATCATTTTAAAGTAAAAAGTTAAAAAAATTAGGTTAAATTTCTTAAAATATGCGAATATTTTCTTAAAATTCTAAAACTGCTCAATGCTTTTCTCTCTTTCTCTTTTTTCTCCCCTCTCCAGCCAGAACCAGCCTTGGAGATAAGCAGAGTGAACAGAAATTTATGCTCTCAGATTTAAGGAAAACAAGATTCTTTCTTGCTTCTTAAATCATACTCCATCCCATCAACTTGCAAACATGCTGACACTTCTCATAATTTCACTCTTTATAAACCAAAGCGTAAGGTCAGAGGAGAACTTGACATATTAGAAGACTTAGGCATTGAAAGTGGTTAGTCTAACTAACCCCTTGAGGTTCTGGAGAACCTGGGACTCAAATTTTGGAAGATGTGACAGATGATGTGTTAAAATACATTGCACCGAGGCTGAAGTGGGAGGATCGCTTGAGACTGCCTGGAAGGCAGAGGTTGCAGTGAGCCGAGACTGATGGTGCCACTGCACTCCAGCCTAGGCAACACAGCAAGACCCTGTCTCAAAACAAAACAAAACAAACAAACAAACAAACAAAACCAAAAAACAAAAAAGCCATTGCACCAAGTAACAGTCAACTTTTCAGCAGAGGTGAGTAATCAGTTAAGGCTTTCTGGAATGCCAGCCCACCTCAAGGCCTTGTACATATTGTTCTCTCTACATAGAGGGATGGCCAGAAATCCCCCAGATGGATCCACGAATGCTCACCTCTTGTGTGCAAACCACCATGTATTTCCCTCCCATGTTGTATCAGGGTTGGTCACTGCAACCAGTAGAATGCTGCAGAAATGATGAGTGTGTGACTCCCAAGGATAGGTCACAGAAGATATTGCAGCTTCTACCTCTGGCTCTCTCTTGTTTATACCTTTACTAAAGTATGATTCGAGTACAAGAAACTGCACATATTTAAGGTATACAATTTGATGAGTTTGTCAAATATATACACCTGTGAAACCATCACCACAATCAAGGTAAACATTTCCGTCACCCCCAAATGGGATGACCCTTTGAAATCCACCCCTCCTCTACCTTTTCCCTAGGCAGCCACTGGTCTATTCTCTGTCACTGTATGGAAGCACCTTACCTGTTTCCTCTGTGGGATGTAAAGTCCCATTTCTGGATCCTTTCAGGTCCCTGTCTAATGTCTATTCTCTTTGCCTTGCCCTTACTTTTGTTCAGACCAAATTTAGCCTTAGTGGGGAGTTTGGTTTTGTAATTCCGAACCCTAAGCAGTCTTGGATTGCTGTCTGCTGAGATGGTGCATGAGAGCAGTGAGGAGCATGATCTGTTTTAACAAAGCTGTATGCTGTTCCCAGCTAAGACCAAGGCTCATCTCTTTCTAGTAGGATCTTGGCAGGAGCCACAAGAAGTAACCAACACAACAGGAGTTAACCTGTCCATATGCTTTCTAAGTGCCAGGCCTATTCTAAGTGCTTTATATATATTAAATCCCTTAATCCTCACAATAATCCAGTTAGTTAGGTACTATTTTAATTCCCATTTCCCTGATGAGGAAGCTTAATTGTGATTAAGTAACTTGCCCTAGGTCACACAGCTAGGAGATAGGGTCTTTGA